TATATTTGACCAAAAGGAAAGAAAATAAATAAATAAAAACCCCAGCCATTTGCAAATATTTTGGAGCACATCCAAAAAAGAGAAACTCTTATTTCCTGGCTGATCTAGCTGCCTGCTCCCTCTTTTGACTTCACCAGATCTTGAAATCGCTGTGGTCCAAGCGACCTTTGTCTGGCTAATACAGCCTGCCACGCTTCATCACCACCCCTTAATTTGTAGTTTGAGGGCGTCTTTAGCATAGAACATTTTTTGCTTCGATTTATTCTCTGTCCTAGTTCTGTGACTTACAGATTTTGTTCAAATTTATCAGGAGCTTGTTCCTGGGTTTGCTCCCAAACAGCAAGTCTTTAGCTGACCAGCCTATTTCTAATGGTGTAACTCTGCGATTTAATAATGCCAGTCAAGGATACTGCGACAATAAATCCTGAGATAACGGGCTGTTATTGCATTGAGAAGATATTTCTACCTTCTAGGAAATACTTTGCATATGAAAGCGTGGTTTCTAAGTCAGCCGCCTATGGCTTTCTGGGAAGTCTGTATATTGAGGCATTGCTCAAGCGGATGGATCCGAAGTCAGCTTGGACTGAGCCATATGCACAGGTGTGACTTCACAGGTTCACAGAAGCCTGTTTAAGCATAGGTTGCAGTCAGTTTTCCCAGCTCAAACTGTGGCCTTTTCTTTTTTAAAAAGAACACAAAACCGCTTCCACCATTATTATTATTTATTATTATTATAACATTTCTATGCCGCCCCTTGCCGAAGCCTCGGGGCGGCTTACAACACAATAAAATAACACCTGGAACAACACCTGGCAGGAGACCGCGCCCGCGCCCGAGAACCACACCGCGCCCAAAGACCGCGCCGCGCACGCGCCCAAAGACCGCGCCGCGCACGCGCCCGAAGACCGCGTGAAGACTGTGCCGCGCCGCCGGCTCCGCCGCTACCTGACTGCCCTGCCACGCCCCTGCACACGTGGCAGGTGTGCCCGGACGGGGTGGGGCGTCGGGTGGCCGGCGGCTACAAAGTGCTGCAGGGGGGAGCGCCGGCAGGAGGAACAACACCTGGCAGGAGACCGCGCCCGCGCCCGAGAACCGCACCGCGCCCAAAGACCGCGCCGCGCACGCGCCCGAAGACCGCGCCGCGCACGCGCCCGAAGACCACGCCGCGCACGCGCCCGAAGACCGCACGAAGACCGCGCCGCGCCGCCGACTCCGCCGCTACCTGACTGCCCTGCCACGCCCCTGCACACGTGGCAGGCGTGCCCGGACGGGGTGGGGCGTCGGGCGGCCGGCGGCTACAAAGCACCAGCAGCGGCCGGGGCCGGCGGCCAAAGGGCGTCGGCCAAAGGGCGGTTTGCCGCCGTTTGGGGGGGCTGTTCGGGGGGGGCTAGGCTGGCCAGGGGACTTGCTCTTTTGTTGTGGCAGTCCCTTCTGTTGAACGGCCAATTTTAAATGTTTTATAATTTTAAAGTGTTTTAACTTGTTTTTATGGAGTCGTCCCTGGCCATGTTGCCGCCTGAGTTTCCTGGGGAGCGCACTGGCGCCGCCATTGGTGTGGTGATGGGCAATGGACGTAATAGCGGTGGGGGCTTAACGTGTCCGCATAGAAGAAGGAGGGACAGATGGCTGACACCTGTCCCTACTTCTGGTTTTGCTCCCAGCCAGAAGGTGCCAGGGAGTCTTGTCAGTCGCCCCTCGGGCCTGACGGTGCTGTTGTTTAATGCCAGGTCGGCCAATAACAAATCTGCCCTCATCCATGACTTGATTGTGGATGAGGGGGCCGACCTGGCCTGTATAACGGAGACCTGGGCGGGAGAGGGGGGGGATGTTGCCCTCTCTCAATTGTGCCCGCCCGGGTATATGGTCCAGCACTGTTCACGGCCGGAGGGGAGGGGAGGGGGGGGTCGCTTTGGTTTACCGGGCCTCCATCACTCTCACGGGACTTCCTGTCCCTTCGAGACCAGGGCTGGAGTGTCTCTACTTGGTGTTGGGCGACCGAGACAGATTGGGGATTCTGTTGGTGTACCGTGCACCCTTCTGCCCAACAGTCTCCCTGCCTGAGCTGACGGAAACGGTCTCGGACCTGGTGTTGAGGACCCCCAGGATGCTGGTCCTGGGGGACTTCAATATCCATGCCGAGGCTAGTTTGACCGGGGCGGCTCAGGACTTCATGGCTTCCATGACGGCCATGGGGCTGTCTCAACATGTCACCGGCCCGACCCATGAACGTGGACACACTCTGGACCTGGTTTTCTCGACGGGGCAGGAAGAGGGTGGTCTGAGGGTGAGGAATTTATGCTTGACTCCCCTGTCATGGTCAGATCACTTCCTAGTGAGGTTTGTGCTCGAGAGCGACATCTCCCTCTGTAAGGGTGCAGACCCGATTGTGTGGGTCCGCCCCCGGAGCCGGATGGATCCGGAAGGATTCCTGAAGGCTCTGGGGGAGTTTCCGGCTGACAAGACGGGTGCTCCTGTCGAGGCTCTGGTTGAACTGTGGAATGGGGAGATGACCAGGGCTGTAGACACGATCGCTCCTAAGCATCCTCTCCCACCGGGCAGAGCCCGCTCTTCCCCTTGGTACACTCCAGAATTGAGGGCAATGAAGCAGGTTGGGAGATGGCTAGAGCGTAGGTGGAGGAAATCACGTGATGAATCTGACCGAACACACTTAAGAGCCCACTATCGGGCCTATGCTGTGGCGGTGAGGGCGGCGAAAAAGAGACACTTCTCCGCTTCCATTGCCTCCTCACAATGCCGTCCGGCGGAGCTCTTTCGAGTGGTGCAAGGCCTGGTTCACCCAGGGCCAAAGGAAGAGCTGACTCCACCCTCAAAGGCCCGCTGTGACGACTTTGCCGAGCATTTTAGGGAGAAAATCGCTCAGATTCGTCACGAGCTGGATTCCACTATTGATTCAGAGGTTTTAAGGGAGACACCAACGCTGCCGTCTGGTCCAGAATTATTGGATGAATTTCAGTTATTGCGGCCCGATGATGTGGACAAGGTGCTTGGACGAGTACGTCCTACCACTTGCCTTCTGGACCCTTGCCCGTCTTGGTTAATAAAGGATTCCAAGCACGGGATTGGAACCTGGATCTTGGAAGTGGTTAACGCTTCTCTGAGGGAGGGTCGGGTGCCTGCCCCTTTAAAGGAGGCGGTAGTCCGACCGGTCCTGAAGAAGGCGTCACTGGATCCAGGGATGGCCGCTAACTATAGACCAGTGGCCAACATCCCGTTTCTGGGCAAGGTGTTAGAGCGAGTGGTGGCGGGACAACTCCAAGCACTCTTGGATGAAACTGATTATCTGGACCCATTTCAGTCCGGCTTCAGACCCGGGTACGGTACTGAATCTGCCTTGGTCGCCCTGTACGATGACCTGTGCAGGGAGAAGGACAGGGGGAGTGCGTCCCTGTTGGTTCTCCTGGACCTCTCAGCGGCTTTCGATACCATCGACCATGGTATCCTTCTGGATAGGCTGGCGGGATTGGGGGTCGGAGGCACCGCTTTGCGGTGGTTCCGCTCCTATCTCAACGACCGATTCCAGAAGGTGGTGTTGGGGGACTATGGCTCTGCGCCATGGCAGCTTTGCCATGGGGTACCGCAGGGTTCCATTTTGTCCCCTTTACTGTTCAATATCTACATGAAACCGCTGGGAGAGGTCATCAGGAGGTGTGGGCTGCGGACCCATCAGTATGCTGATGATACCCAGCTCTACCTCTCGTTTTCCACCAATCCAGGTGAGGCAGTGGCTGTACTGAACCGGTGCCTGGCCGAGGTAATGGGCTGGATGAGGGCCAATAAACTGAAGCTCAATCCAGACAAGACGGAGGTCCTGTTGGTTGGCGGTTCGGGCTTCAGAGAAGGTGACCTGAACCTTGTCCTGAATGGGGTTGCACTCCCTCCTAGGGACAAGGTCCGCAGCTTGGGAGTGCTCCTCGACCCGGAGCTTTCACTTGAAGCTCAGGTGACAACAGCGGCGAGGAGCGCTTTCCTCCAGCTTCGGCTGATTCATCAGCTGCGCCCCTACCTGGAGTACGACTGCCTTGCAACAGTGACTCATGCGCTGGTGACTTCCCGTCTTGACTTCTGTAACGCGCTCTACGTGGGGCTACCCTTGAAGACGGTCCGGATACTTCAATTGGTTCAGAATAGAGCTGCCAGGCTGCTGACGGGGACTGGACGTTATGTTCACATGACGCCAGTTCTCCGTCAGCTTCACTGGCTCCCCATTGAAGTCCGGGCCCAATTCAAGGTGTTGGTAATGACCTATAAAGCCCTAAACGGCTTGGGTCCTGGTTACCTGAAGGAGCGCTTACATCCATATTTGCCCAGTCGCCCCCTGAGATCGGCGGGAGAGGCCCTTCTCCGGGAGCCCTCCGTGAGAGAAATTAGGAGGGTGGTTACTCGGAGAAGGGCTTTCTCAGCGGTGGCGCCTAAGTTATGGAATGCGCTCCCCAGAGAGGTCCGCCTGGCGCCGTCGTTATTTGTTTTTCGGCGCCAGGCTAAGACCTTTTTATTTAAGCAACATTTTAAATGCTAAATACAATTGAATTTTATCTGGCCAGGGCAGCTTATTTTATAATGTGAGTTTTAATTAAGATTATTTTATATGGATTTTAACTTGTTTTATCTATGTTGTAAGCCGCCCCGAGGCTTCGGCGAATGGGGCGGCATAAAAATGTTTTAATAAATAATAAATAAATAAATAAATAAATAAAATACATTGAAATACAATAGAACATAATAAATTACCATTAAATACAAAAATACAAAAAATACATTGAGTTACAAACATAATAATACAAAATTAAAATTATCAGTATAAAATAAGTAAATAAATAATATAGGAGGAGAAAAGAGAAGAAGTTGCCCTGGCCTGCTCTCAGTCTTATCCCCACAACAACCCTGTGAGGAAGGCCAGGCCAAGAGTCTGGGATGGGCCAAAGCCACCCAGCTGGCTTAGCGGGGACTAGAACCCAGATTGTCTGAGTTCCCACCCCACACTCTTAACCGCAACACCACACTGGTTTTGTTGGGGAAGCGCTACAGGGCCACTTTGTCTCTCAAAGGGCGCCCTGCGTGCAAAAGGGGAAGAGGCTTGGGCTGGGACCGTGTGGGTCCAGGCGCTTCCCATGCCCCACGGCTGCATCTGGGCACAGCAGAAGGAATGTGTGTTCGGGGCTGACTCTGCCAGGGCCGGGGCGACGGGGGGCAAAATGACCCCCACATTTGATGCTAGCCCCACAAGCTGGCACAAGCCCCAGCCAGCATCAGATGAGAGCAAACTGGAACAATCTGTGGAACAGTGCACAGCTTGGCTTTGCATGAAACAAGGTCTTATGTAATTCCTCACGATCAAACATGAGGTTTTGGGAAGAGGATGCAACCACGCCATACACAAAGCGGCAACAAAACAGTAAGCACTTCATTAATTAAAAGCCACAAAATAAAGTTTGCTAAACAAAGCAAGTGTTCTTTATTGCTTTTATCTGTATTCATTAAAACTGACGGGAAATCAAATATCACCATCTGTCTACTTTCAAGAAAGACATTAAAAACAGCTCCAGGCAGCTGCAGAACGCCACCGAAGTGTGGATTTAACTTCGACTTGCAAATGGGCAAGAGAATTTCTGGCATTGGACAGGACCGGGAAAGGACTGGGCGAATCGATGAGCAAACTCCGTCTTGCCCTCTAGGGACTGCGGATCTCTGGGGCTGCACGTGGGCTCAAGCCAGCCACCCTATTGTGGGTAAAGACCGGGGAAGCGAAGCCTTTTCCTAGGCCCACTTTGTGGCTGCGAATAAACTCCCATTTCAGGTAGAAAATCAGTATGTGAAAACATTGCACAATCTTGTGTTTATGTCTTCAATCTTAGCATGTATTTAAATGAATCCATCAGCTGGCAGCCCTATTGTGTGTCCCAGAGAAATTATATATATATATATGGTGGGTTACAACCTCAACAGCATGTCCAGGAAGCATAAATTTTGGAACATTGGGTTGGTCTGGTGTTAGTTCTACTTAAAGTGGACCTATTGAAATGACTGGGAGCCAAGTTGGACTCATGTTGGACACACTGGTTGTTCAAGAGCATACGGAACGCTATTGATCGTTCTTGCTGTCCACCCTGCTGGCCTTCCAACCGTTGCCAATACGCAATGCCAAGGAAGAGGGGACTGGTGGGCGAGGTGGAATGTGCGGTCAGAGACTCCGGCCAGAGGCGTGTGCGATCGGAAAACAGCGGCTATGCAATCCGTTCCGCAAGGTCAGGAGGCACACGATGTTCAGAAGCACTGACCAAGGAGAGGGTCTGAGTTCCAAAAGCAAAGACGTGTTTAGACCCAACAGGATGTTTGCCAGATGCTGCATTCTAGTCTTAACTGATATTGTGCCTGTGATTTTGTTGTTTTAAACCAACATTCTTAGCCACCTTTCTTAGCCCCAGCTGTGAAAGGTGCCACGTTAATGAAAAGTCGGGACACAAATATTATCATAAATACCAAGATGGTTCCTGATGAGCATAGCTGTTTACAGAGCACTCTTGATAGATATTTAGCACTGCCCACACACACCCATTTCAGAATTCTTTATTTAAGGAATTAATCCAACCAGAAAGGTTCTGCTTCCATACCAATGCTTACATTTGTGAAAAGCATCACTGTGGAGACACGGCGCACCTCGGTACCAGCGATCCTGCTTCTATTTGGCACAAGTTAATAGAGAGCAAGCAGCTCAGATACTCTTGCAAAATGCAGAAGTCCAGAGATTTGTCCTGCTGGAAAGGCTGAGCCACGAAAAGAGGGCATTTGCTTTAGATTCTGATTGTGGGTGGTGGACAGCATCAGGTTTCGGGGAGAGGCGGGATCAGGCAAGCGCTCCAAGTCATTGTTCATGTTAGAGGATGTTTAACGTACAGGCAGAACTCATGATCTGTGCATGCTTTGAAAATAATTCACTCTGACAGATCTTCTGTGTTTGCCGGGGGGAAAATGGAGGCTGCTCATGGTGCTGTCGCAAGGAAATCTCAGCGATCAGGCCCAGCCAGGAGTCGTCTGCATGTGATCGGGCTGATTCCCAGCAGGAGATCCGGGAGACGGACCGGCCAGGCACACCCACAAGCTGCACCCCCCCGACCGCGTTCGCCGATCCGATCCCTCCTGCATTGGCAGAGTGGTGGCTTTCCAGCAGAGGCGAGACGAAGAAAGCCTGCAGGCACCCCGTTAGCTCCAGTGCGGCAGGCGATGGACTGAACTTGTGGGAACAGGGCCGTGAAGCGAACGGGCGGCTGGGGAGACCGTGTTCTGGCACGGGCCGGAATGGCATGCCCAGGCGGAAAGCTCAGCAACCGCTGCGGTTGGAGGTTTTCTCCAGCGTTCAGCCTGAGCACTCCAGAAAGGCAGGGTGGCGTCACACTTCCATTGCCCTGGAGAGGAGAGATTGTGTGGTACGAGGGGATCGGGTGGGCAGGAAGGGCAGCTCCCGACCCACAAAGGGAGGCAACGACATTCACACATCTGGTTTACAGGTAGCATCGCAGAAGCATGAATGGTCCCTCAGCCTGCACGCCCTAACTCGGTAGACCCGACGTCTGGGTCTGTGTCTGGGGAAGAGGTAACTGGTCATGAGCGGAGAGCAGAACCCAGTCCTGGAATGTGTTTTCAGTATGTGAGGGCCGGCCTAGGCGCAGTAGTTCCTGCTCATGTGCAAAGCGTGCTTCTTCATCACCAAGGCAGTGCAGCTTGTCCTGCACCCGCAGCATCACTGAGCAGGAGTTCTGAGGCAGAGGAGGCTGCCAGTCAGGAGGCGAAGAACTCTGTGCATGCTTAATTGCCATTGCTTCGCACCCATAGCTGGAGGATGAGATGCCCTCGGCTGCGCAATTTTGGCAAAATCGCTCAATTCTGGCTCAGCGGAGCTCACAGGAGAGCATCGCCTGGCCTGTCCGGATGCAGACGTGAGCGCTTTGGTGTTATTTTTAGAAAGGTGAACAGAAGTCCCTCTCCTGCGAGCGCAACGGAACCGGCAGAGGAAAAGCACGTGCCGTGCATCTCCATTCCGTCCCCCAGGGGATGAGCAGCGAGCCAGCCCCATGGCACCGATTCCCGAGAAGAAAAGTATTTTTAAAACATGTATTCATAGGCTGATGGCTCACACAGAGAGAGGAGGTGTGCGGAGCGCTTGGGCACCATCTGGAGTTCTCTGCTTTGGACACTCAGACTGCTGCTCGGGAGGAGCAGGGACCGGGCGAAGGGCTGGGTTCTCCAAGCCACGCCGGGGATGGGGGCGCTCTGGATCCACTGAGGCTGAGGGGGCAGCTCCTCACCGGCCGTCTCACTGCAGAACTCCGTGGGGCCTGCTCTAGAACCTGTGCTCGGCACTGCTGTTCCCCGTGCCTGTGTCCCAGGTCCTGCGAAGGACCTGGAGGACTTCATGGTGTTTCCATAGTGATTCGGTGGATGGCATGTGGTCCTAAACTGCAAGGGGGGGGGGAGAGAAGAGCACGATCAGGCTACTGTTTTAATATCTTCTGATATAAAAAGCGGTAGAGGTGACTCAAAGAGAACAGCTGAGCAGTTTCAGACTGAATATTAGAGAACACTTCTTGGAAATGGAGTAGCAGGATCATGTGTGTTGGGGACGGAAACTCGATGATTTTCAGTCAAGAAGTAGGCGGCAGCCAGGCTGCTCCAGAAGATCCACTTGTAATCAGGATGAACTATTCATTTAAGCGGTTTCAAAACCAACCGCCTTTCATGCACCCATTCTAAAAAATCCTGCATTTCTTGCCAGTTTTGTGGATCTCTAGTAAGTAATTCTCACCAAACTCATAACCAGTTCCTGAGGCTGGGGAAATATGCCAGAGGTTTCATTTTTTCTTCCTATCTGTTCAATTTGTACACAGAACTTTTCATAAGGAAAGCTGGATTAGAATCAGCAGAAGAATTGGCAGAAGAAACATCACTAATTTCAGATGCAGATGATACCATCTTACTGGCAGAAACAACTCCTGGCAAAAGTGGAAGAAGAAAGTGCAAAAGCAGGAATGCAGCTGAACATTAAGAAATCAAAAACCACCGCTACAAAAGAATTGCACAACTTTAAGGTCAACAATGAAGAAACTGGAAATGTGAACAATTTTGTGTACTTTGGTTCAGTCATCAATTCAAAGGGGAGCTACAGCCAAGACAACCGAAAAAGACTGAGACTTGGAAGGGCAGCAGTGAAGGGCTAGAAAAGATTGGCAAGGGCACGGACGTTCCACTGGAGGCAAGGCCAAGATCATCTGCACTATCGTGTTCCCGCTTACTATGTATGGATGTGAAAGCTGGACAGTGAAGAAAGCAGGCAGTAAAGAAATGGATGCATTTGAAACATGGTGCTGGAGGAGAGCTCTGTGAAAACCCTGGACCGACAGAAAGCCGAACAAGGGGGTCCAGGATCCAATCAATCCAGAACCTTCCTTGGAAGCAAAAATGACAAGACTGAAGCTGCCATACTTTGAGCCCATCAAGAGAAGGAAAAACTCACTGGAGAAGACAATAATGCCAGGGAGGGTGGAAGGCAGAAGGAACATTGCATATGAGATGGACTGAATCCATAAGGGAAGCCACGGCCTTGAACTTGGAAGAGGTGAATGGCGCGGTCACGGACAGGATGTAGCGGAGAGCTTCCCTTCATGGGTCGGAGATGGCATGACAGCACACCACAGCAATGAGCTAGGGCGGAGCTATGGCAGTGAAGTTAGCCTGGCATATTGAAATTTCAAATGTGTGTGTTGGTGCCATTTCACTGCTTTTCTCCATTGGACCAGAGTAAGATGGCGGCAGGGGGGCAGCAACGGGAGACGGGGAAGCGTAGTTGCAACAGCAGCAAAGCAGGGGAAAGATAAGCAGGCACTTATGGAGTGTTACGTGCATGGAGAGTATATAAGTAAGTAACTTAAAGCACGATTCAGGGAGATGGGAGACTCTGGAGCCTCTCTGTCTCCTGCTCATCGATTCCGCAGCACCCACTGCACACTCGGAACAGCTGCCTCAGGATCCACTCCGTCCTCTTCTTGTCCTCTTAAATACTGTAAACTGCTCCTCGCTTTGCCAAGTGCCCTGTTGCTTTCGTACTCAAGCTGCATAACTTGATAGCCACATATCCTTTGGCCTGAAATCCAGCAAGAGTTCTCACCGTCGTGCTTGCTTAGAAACACAGAAACAGAGCGAGTCAGAAGGGGCCTCCCGGGCCATCTAGTCTGACCCCGGCTCCAGCTGGCTCCGCTCACGACATGCCCACCATGTGCATGTCCAGCCTGTCCTTGAACACCCGCACCGATGGGGCCTCAACAACCTCCCGGGGAAGCCCATCCCACACCCTCGGGGTCCCAACTGTCAGGAAGTGCTTCCTGGCATCCAAATGGAACCTGGGTTCCCTGAGATTGGCTCCGTTGGAGCGCATCCTGCCTTCCTCTGCAGGGGAGAACAGGTCTCTACCACCTCCGTGTGACCCCCCCTCCACATACAGTAACTGTACGTCGCCAACGGATCTGTTGCTTTATCCGCTGTTGTTATTATTGCTTCGTTTCTGCGCTGCCCCATAGCCAAAGCACTCTGAGCAGTTTCATAATAACATTTTAACTAATCTAATGCCCCGGTAATTGGGGGCACCTCTTTAGTAAATTAGAAGTTTTGAAATGGATTGACCTAACCAATTAACCACCTCAAAATTGCAGCCCTAATTAAAAGATTTCATAGAAATAAGAAGCAGGCATTAAAACAAGTTGAAGGAAACATTAATTGAAGTCTGCAAGTGTTGCCATGATCAGACCCAAAAGTAATTGCTTAATTTTCATATGAAAGATGGACTTGCTTTCCCAAAGCAAACGATGCTTGATTCTAGGATATGATCACCTTTACCACTTTCCTCTTAATGTCCTCCGTGGCCAGAATCTTTGCTGCCCCTCAGATTAAACCATTCAGGGGTGGAGAATGACCCTCACCCAAGATACAGAAGAGAATATTTTAGCAAAACATTACTTACACTGGCACAAAATTCCTCATTCTTTTGGGACTTAATGGTCCAGCTCATTATGTAGTTTTATGAGCCTGCAGAACGATGCGCTTGAAATAAAATACAAAGCTGGGGATTCTCGCAAAGCCGCTGATCGAACAGTAAGTGTGGACATACCCGAGTGTTCACGTGTATTCTGCACGATGGGTGCTTAGTTTCCTTGAGTGTAACTTTCCCAAACGAGGCAGGCCAATCGCACGACAGCAGCCTCATCTGGGAGCACCAGAGACAGTTTGGCTTGCCTGCACACGCCAGCGCTGCGGGATCCCGTGAGCGAGCCGGCTGGCCACCATGGAAGGCCAGTGGCTCCCACGCACACGGCTCTTCTTATGTTCTGAAGGCTCCTGGGACAGTCTTCAGGGAGATGCTCCAGTGCGGCTTTGCTCGAGTGCCCAAGCATCTTGGAAGGAAAGCAGGTAGAGGAGGTGATGGGAAAATGTGGGAGGAGGAAGGCCTTCTCCAGGGCTTCCCCCGCGATTCTGAGAAGGAGGGGGGTGTCCGGAGACAGCCTTGCCCAGGTACCTCATGCGAGTTCCGGTTGGTGCCAGGTGGCTGGCGGCCCCTTCGCTCCTGCAGTGCTTCCTTGCTCCATTTGATCTATAAAAATGTGTCAGGCGGGGCAGCTGGCAGGGCCCAGGCAACGACCAGCACTCCTTGCGAGAGGGTAAGAGAGGCGGCGCCGAGAACGCTCCCGCAGGGCCCCAAAGAAGCCAGCAAGGACAAGGTCTCTGAGCAGGGCTGGCTAACCATCTCCCAGCTCTCTTGGATGAGACCGGTTCTCTCTCCCTCTCTCTCCCCCCCCACACTGGGGTTCTGCCTGGGCTTGGCAGGAAAGAGCCGTGGTCTCCATCCATAATGTCCCTCTGCAGGGGGGGAGGAGAGGACGTCCCCAGTGCAACACCCTTCCGAGGCCGTTGTCTGCGCTGTGGAGCAGTGGCTTGGCCTGTCCTCAGGTGGGAGGCTCCTGAAGGTGCTGCTCGGGGGCCTGCGCGGCCCCACGGGCTCTTTGGCATGAGGCTCTGCAGGCGGCCAGCCGTGAATCCCACCACGCCACCCAGCATCTGCATGGAAGGGTTTCGCAGAGTGATGCTGGCACTCCATGCGGTTTCGCCCCCTCATCTTCCTCGGCTGAGGCTGCGAACAAGCCAGGTTGGTGCCTGGTCGCGGCAACAGACGAGATGCAGGCCAATAATGCGACACTCAGTCCAGACGAGGCCGAGATGCCCTTTGGAGGTGGCTCTTCCGACCAGAAAGCAAGTGCTTACCTGTGTTATTACCTCTCCTTCCAGGTGACTGGCGTATCTTGCTGCTCCCGAAAATTTGAGGGCAAAGCACAGCACGTGCTCAGAATATCCGCCACTTTTGGATAACCGAAGGCAGAGAGAAAGGTCCGTGGCGCACGAGGGAGGGCGCCTGGGGAGACCGCTCGGTGGGGGCCCTGGGTCCCGGAGGGGCTCTTTCCCAGCCGCGGGGAGCACGAACCGCACAGGGGGATCGGCCGGCCTGGACTCGGCACTGGCACTTGGGGAGCGCGCGTCTTTGGGGGCCGGGTCGGCCACGCTTTCGGCACCAGGAGGGCGGGAGGCCCAGTTCCGCACAGACACCGTCATTCCGACATCGGAGCCCGGAGAGGCCTTCCGGCCGCGGCGCGGCGCCCGCACCCCAAGGCCGGCAGCGGCAGCCCGCGCGGCACGGCCGGCCCC